CAAGATTGATTGAAGTTGACGTACTCAGCATCACAATATAGGGCACGTAGACCCACGCTGCAGCAGGTTAGTTTTTCGCTGAACCCAGATCAGCTCTTGACTTCAAAAGGAGGCCTAGTGTACTTATTTCCAGCTCCATTTTCCATAAGCTCTGTTAGCAAAGCTTTGCATTGTTCACAACTCACAGCGATCCTTATTTGTGTTGGTGCCGCTCGACAGTTGATCCACCTGAAATTTGCAGCGGTTTCTTGTTGGTGTGTTTGGACAAAGTTTGAGGTAGAACATCATGTGTTATCTTCAGAAAAAAGCTGCACAACACGTTGTTGCTTTATAACCGTTAAAGTTTAAACTAGAACAGTTTGTGCGCCTGTTTGTTGAATTGTTTACCTGTGTCCATGTACCATTGCGTGCCTGCCTGCTGTAGGGCAGAAATTCCACAGAGAGCTTGTGAAACAGCAGGAGGCCAGAGGATCCTGGGGAAATGGTCGTAAACCGGTGCCATTAAGATGTGCTATCAAACGTTGGCCTAATGCTCTGCTGTTCCCAGCACCAGTCCTCACTCACCTTCTGTTCTTTAATTTGTTCAAGGTTACTCTATAATAGTGAGCTGACTTGAGGAATAGACTGTTGAGTAAGCTGTGAGCCATTCAGGTGCCAGTTTTGTCATAAACCACGACCTCCTGCTTTTCTTCTTCTTCTTTTCGCTGTTATTACGTAAGTGTTCTGCACAGTGAGAACTAAATTGCCAAAGCAATAAGGCAGACCGCGGGGTAAAATTGAAGGCAGAAAACAACATTTTTACTTGGTGGAATGAGGCATATGTTTCATCGGTGGTGTTCCAGTGTGGATACCTCTCTCTCTGGAGCTGTGAGTTTTATAATGCAACACTTAAAGACTCCAGAGGCGTTTCTTTTGAGCCACTGGCATTGTTTGTGTGGGCTGGGCTGTGTTTGGTTGTTGGCGTAAAAGCTATGCTTTCGTTTGCTGTTAAAAAGGGTACAGGATTTCCTCTGGACAGCCTGCAGAGCTTACTACGCCCCCAGGGTCAACAAGAGCACTTCTCTCACACAGGCTGTTTGGATTCAAGCACTTAAGCATCATATATTTAATATGTACCAAGGTTATAAAATGTCTAGATTTGGGTGCCAGACGAACAAAGTGCCACACTTGACCTTCTGAAATTCCAGCTTGCATACTTGTCTCACGCTCGCGTCCACCCACCTGCCGAGCCACAGTTGAACTTTTATGATGTCGCCCACACAGCCTTGCCTTTTCACTGAATGGGGTTATTTTGTGGTCAGTGTTTACCACTGCTTTATTTTTCTTTTCTCAGATTATGTCCTAAAACAGCAGAGAAAATTATCGTAGTATTATTCTGAGCATACTTTTCACCACCAGAGCTTCAGCTAACAATTACTTAACTTTCTTTTAGCAGTTTTACATATACAAATGGTGTTTTTATTTACCCTCTAGAGATTTGGCCTACAGTGGTGCTCTGAAGTTCACGGTTACTTTTTGGAGGAAGTTTTACAAAGACATGAACGAGAGACACGGCACACAAATAATCCTGAAGAAAAATCTGTGGCAGAACTCTGAGCCAGGCAACCACCAAACTGGCAAACCCATACTGAGGCTTTTGTATTTATTTTAGTAAAGATGTAACTGTGATTATTGTATTGTTGGCTTACTGTAGCCATAATGAGCTAGGAACACTGATCGGGGCTTGGGAGGTAGAATGTGCCATCTACTAAACGGAAGGCCAGTTGTTTGATTTCAGGCACCTCCAGTCGACACGTGAAAGTGTCCTTGGGCAAAAACATGAAGTGTGAGTGTGTGCATGATTGTTATAAATCCCTTTAAGGCACTGATTAAAGTGCTTTATCAGTTTATTTGTTAAAAAGCAAAAAAAAGTAAACTACACAATTATTTTGTCCATGTTGCAGAAAGTTAAATCTCAGTGTTTGCTGTTTTATGCGGGGGGGGAGGAATCATTATTTTCACCAAAACAGTCCAACTCACAGAAAAACCCACCCAAAGCTGTTTGGATGACTTAAATCTAAAGAAGTCTCAGTGTTGTCTGTTATTTGTAAAGGTGTTGGCGGACAAAGAGTGCTCACAGGGAAGAACAAATATTATTTCACTTCCTATTGAAGTACTTTTTCCTGGCTCATAATTGGTCTTTAGGGGGGGTGACTACACATGAAAACATGATTGGTCCACATAGTTGCAGTAACCGTGCTACCTTATTTTGTAAAATTTCTGTTATTTCTGGCCATTTAATAAATAAATATGTATTTTATGCTTGAGTAAATGAAACCCTTCTGATTTTTTTTCTTAGTGCAAAGCCAAAACCTCTCTCGGAGGTTTCTTTGGGTATTTCTTTTTCTTTTTCTTTTTTGCTGGATGCTGGCAAAACCCTGCTTGTCTGATTTCTGATGAGCTGTCAGCTTTCTAAACACATCCCCGTTCAGTTATTTACACATGGAAGAAATTACATGACAGCTCATCACGTTATGCCAGTGTGCACTATCCTCTGATGAAACCCCACCCTGAATCCCCCTCCACCCCACAAGTCTTTCCAGATAGACACTACTTAGCCCTGCAGTCTGTCGTCTGCCCTGAACCTGTGATCAGCAAAGACCTGAGCAGTGTGACGCTGTTCTGCTTACTCAGGTAGAAAATCCCCTTGAGGATGTGCTTTTAATTGAATGGTGTCTCCAAAGTGGCTGTACTGCTGGAGCATGATCCCGCTCTGAGTACTGGCCTTCACACTCTGGCAGAGGTTTGCTAATGACTCAGCCTGAGGAGCTAATCCATTTGTCTCCCATGCCTGATCAAAGATGGATAGGTACTGAGGAACATTAGGCAATGTCATGTTTCTGATAGCAGATGTGCACTACTTAAAGTCTCTGGGCTCTAATTGTATGTAGAAGATGAAAGATGGAGAGGGTGGATTTAAAGAGTAGGTATATTTTCTAGTCTTTAAATAAACTTATTCATATTCGATACAGTGGGTAGCTCTGTATGTTTGATATTTTTTTTCCTCATATTTTTGCACTGAATGCCCTTCCAATGCAATCCCAAAGGGATTTCTGGGGATCTTTTGCTTGTTTGCCGATTGTGTGATATTGAGTGTTTTAAAGCGGCTCAAAATTTGTGTGATATTATTCCAGTTTCTTACAGCGTGTCTGCGATTAGCAACAAACCTGTGTGGGATACATCCAGTAATTGGCTGGATTGATTTAGTCTTCACCCTCTCTGCTTGAGTGTGAAAATGCAAGAAAAAAAAACGTTGGCCACTGAAATAATTGGGCCCACCAGTGTGAAGAAGTTAGTCCTTGTTTCATTTTCGTGGGTGAATTAGTGACATTTTAAGGATTTATGTTTTTTTTCCTCTCATCGTCCCTTCACCTGTTCCTTGTTCACTGTGTTCTCAGTTTACCTGCATCACATTTTCCTCTGCAGTCAGTGATGGAGGCACTTACAGTATTTGTTACTTCTTTACTGATTACTGTCTTTACTTTCTTTTTTCTCAACTTTTTTTACCTGTGGTTTCGGTCCTTCTTCTTACTGGGACTTCTAGAGGCACAGTTACTAGAGATCTATGCTTCAGCATTAAATTTACACCTTAACTGCCAGTGCTGTGCAATACTACAAATTTTGGTGTTGATCCATTACCAGCACGGCCAACATTGCCGATACAGATACAAATACTGATACTCCTATATAGGGATGGGTATCGTTTAGGTTTTATC